ACCCTGAGCCCTGATCTTGAAGTCTTGTCTTAGAGCCCTAAACCCCAAACTCGAAAACCCAAACCCTGAACCCTGATCTTGAAGTTCCTCTGAGGACTGTGGCGAAAGGGTGAAGTTCTGAAGTTACGGGTCTGAACGGAGCTCCAGGCCGTCCGGGTGTAGGGTTTAGGGTTTCTCCGAAACTTACCTTTGGTTAGTAGGGAATGGAAGAATGGTAGTAATAGTAGTTACATTTATACCCCATTCCTCCATTCCCTACGAACGAAAGGTAAGGAAAAACCTAAGATTTTCGGGTTTAGGGTTTCGGGTCCTAGACACACCAAAACGTGGTTGAAGGTAGGCCATTGCAGAACCCAGTATAGGTCCCCAACCGAACCCTTGAAGGAACCCCTACAGAACCCTGGAAGGAACCCTTAGAGAACCGGAATCAAACCCGCTTGAAAAGCAACACTCTGGAACCCTTGAAGGAACCCGTTTAGATCACTGATAAAGCCTTCGTCGATCCCCTGAAGGGTACTGTAGGCCTTCAGGCTATAGGGTCCCTTTAAAGGTGTTATAAGGTCCAAAATCTGGCTCCGTTTGAAGGATTATAGAGTTCTAGAATAGGGTTCCCCGTAAAGGCGACAGGGGATCGACCGCTGTTCGAACGGACTCATCATGGAGCAGGTCATCAGATCCACCTACGTCGCGCTTCTGCGGGCTTCAGTTTGGGGCTTATAAGGTTTTGAGTTTGGGGTGTTAGGATTGATTAATTTAGTTTAAGGGTAGGTGAGGTTCCAAGAACGGACCAATATGGGATGAGGTTGATTGAGGTTAAACGGTTTTCGGACCTCTGGGCTTCGGGGCTGGAGTTTTTCTGAGGATTGAAATCCGGGTTAGCTCGCCTTTGGTTTGGAAGGGGGGAGCGCAAAGTAAATGTGCTTACAGGCAAGGTACGTCGAAGGCACCCATGAATCTTCAAGAAGGGTTTTTGGGGCTTCAAGCTCCCAAACCAAATGTTGAAGTGTGCATCCAGAAACTATCAAACCCGTGGATGCGAGCACCCCAAACCACGAGCTGGATCCGGACACGCTTTCACAATGTCTTACATATTGCAGAACATTTATAGATATACGACAATGTGCTACAATAAAGCTTTATCGAACTTCACGGCGTATGGTTAAATCAACCCCTTAATTAAGAGACGGCTGCTGAATCTGAAGAGATAGTCCTTGTGAAGTCGACCACGACGAGAGCATTGCCATGCTACCCTAATTCGTATTTCACCCTAAACCCTATAGATCTTGAACCCCTATCGTTTGATCATTTAATCTTTTGCATTGCTGCTACAGGGTCGAACCAGTACCCGTGCGAGCCCTACACACCCAAAAAGCATGCCAAACCCGTGAACAACAACAAGCTGAGCGGACCTTCGACCCCAAAGCACCGATCGGGATGTAGCCAAACGCCCAAAATCCCCGAACCGGCAGAGGAGGTGATGCCGGGTTTGAGGTTTCCTTCGAAGGAGATCTTGGGCTATAGGACATGTTGGGATGCATGTCGCTACCGTGATGGTTGGGAAATGTAAGGAGCGATAGCATGAAAATTTGATGCTAAACTCACCCAGATTCCTCAGGAGCACTTTACACAACTAACCCAAAACCCTTAATACAAGCACAACTTCACAATGAGTCCGATAACCTATAACCATGAACTAGGTGTCGATTTCAACAGCCCCAAAAACTTTTCTATAAGATTAAACAATAAATAATTAAGTGAAATTCAAAAAATAACACCAAATCCATATACCTAGTAAAGCCTCTAGTTGCCTCCATTGCTCGAGACAAAAGGCCTCCAACCTAAACCCTTAACCCTAAACCCTAAACCCTGAACCCCAAACCCCAAAACCCTAAACCCGTCACCTTCAAACGAACACCCTGAACCCTGAACCCTAAACCCTACCTACTTCCCCAAACCCTACAAAATAGTAGGATATGACCCCTTTATTTGATGGGATAACCCTGGAAACAATACGTTTTTGGAACCTTAGGTAAAGCCCAACCCTACCCATAGGCCCCGTAGTAGTTCCTTTTGCGGATTACCATATAGGTTTCTAAATATGAATGCCAAAAACGAACTACTATGGGGCCTATGGGTAAACCCTAAAACCCTAAAGCCCTATACCCTAAAACCCAGCACCCTAAACCCTTTAAGGAACCCTGAGCCCCAAAACCCTTAAACCCAAAAACCCCAAACCCTATACCCTGAAACCAACACCCTGAACCCTAAACCTTAAACCCTAGCTGGACCCTAAAAAAACGCCTTTTTAGTGCTTCCTAATATGATTCCTTTCTACAGTTTCTGAAAAAGGTCGGTTACTTCTCGGGAAAAACCCTAAACCCTATATAACCCCTATAAACGCTAAACCCTATAAACCCTAAAAACCCTATAAACCCTAAAGCCTCGCAGGATGGCGTCCAAGATCGCCAGGGCAAGCGCCGGCGGAGCTCCCCGAAGCTTTGGCAGAGCCTGAACTTCAGGGTTTTCCGAGAAAAAACGAAGCTCAGGCTTTCCTAAAAAAAAAACACAGTTCTTGTTTTCCGAGAAAACAAGGAAGTCCAGCCTTGCCGAGCACAAAGAAGCTTATAGGTTGTATTTTAAGACAGAGAGGTTTACATAACAAAAAAGGAAAGTAGGTTTTGCTAAAGAAGAAAAAAAAGTGCAGGTTTTCCTATCAGGCTTCCTTAAGGGGTCCGAGCAAGGAGCGGCAGAGTATATCTCGAAAGGACATCCGCAAAGGGTTGGGAGTATCATGGAGAGATACCATTTGTACGCCTATGATGATGTTCAAACTTTCCGGCTTCTGCTTTAAGGGGTGGTTGAAGTTTTAGCTCAGGGTTTAGGGTCAACTAGGCCCCTCGACAGTGGTACTTTTTTCGCTACCTTGATTAGCATTTAGCTGGTTAGAAGATATCACGGCCGCATAATGGGGTTTCCAACACAAGTACAACAACCTGGACTTCGAGCAAGACTTTAGGTAGCTCACAGCGGTTTAGGGTTTAGGGTTTAGGGCCCTAAACCCTAAACCGTACAGCTTCAGCAATCTTGGTGCGCTCTCTTGTTCAGGCTTGAGAGTGCAGGCACCCTAGGCCCTGAACCGTCAAGTTCACGGCCACGGCTTCGAAGTTTGCAGTTTCGGGATTCGGATGTTGAGGTTCAAAATACTATCCCTAGGCTTCCAGGGACCTTACTATTGGGTCCTTAAGGCGTCTAGGGCCCTAATTAACCATAAGGTCCCTGGAAGCATAGGGTATACTATACTATATGATTCTATATTCTCATGTATTGCGCCATCCGTAACCTTCAACCCCAAGCTTTGAGCCCATGCATTGGGCAGGCTGGACACCGACACTTCACTGAATGCTAGAGCCATAAAGCAACCGCAAGTTTCTCCAAGTCCCAACATTTGAGCCCTGAAGCCACTAAACTGTACGGCACCTAAATCACAAAGCCCGAAAAGCACTGAGTCCTCAAGCACCCAGCCCCCAAATCGCGAAGCCCAAAGCCCTTGTGTCCTTGCATCCTTCTCTCGCTGCGTTCGTGGCACACTTCGGGGATTCAGACTTCGTAATTCATGGGCTGTACCGTTTAAACTAGGATTTCGCAGTATATGCTACAACAATTTAATTTTACAGGGTTTATACAAAGGAATCGCACTCCGAAATATCAAAACCTCGGCCTTCCACTCAGCAAGTAGGGGTTCAGGGCAACATCGGCGTGTCGAAAGAATTTTCCACCCTGCACCCTGGAACTTGCAAATCCTTAATCCTAGACTCCAAACCGTGAGCCTTATACACCCTGCTTGTAAAAAACCCGAACTCGTATGCAAAATCCCTGTAAAGCAAGCAGATGGAGTTAAACTCTCATGGAACCTTCTTACCGCTCCTACGCTTCCAAGTCAACAGTTCGATCTTCGGCCCAGTGGCAGCAGCCCACATGATGTCCAGCACGGCCTTCAACGAGTCAGGGCTCGTGCATCAGGGTTTAGGGTTTAGGGTCTAGGGTTTAGGGTTTGGGTTTAGGGTTTAGGCTTTAGGGGAGGGCTTAGGGTTTCGGGCCGTGCAAATTGGAAAGTGGCTCATGAATGACTCAAAACCCGCATGCAAAGTATCCAAGCACACATCATCCTTAACCCATCCGAACACCCATAGTTCATTATAGGGCTTCGGGATGCAAGGCGGATGAGCTTTGGGACTCAGCGCATACGTTTTCAGGGCCTGGAGGTCTGTTGCCCAAGGCCTGCAGGGTTTGTTCCTCCCGGCGACAACAGCCTCAGGGTGCTATGAATGTTCATGGCGTCTACAGCCTAGGCGTGTCATGGTTAAGTGATAGTGAATGGCCTTAGAGCTTCAGGGCCACAGGTTGTAATGGAGGTGTTTAGAGGAACCCTTAAAGGGACCCTATAGGACCCCATAGTACCCCTTAAAAGAACCCTTAAAGGAGCCCCTAAAACCATGTCAAACTAGGTTTCTCAACGGCAAGCATGGCCGGGAATCCTACCCCAAACGCACTCTGTCGAGGTGCACCTGTAGAAATCCTGCGCCAATCTAAGCCAGCATCAGCCAAGCCCAAACGCCACTACGATAAACCCTATAGGCCCTGATTAAAGCATACACCGTACACCCTCACACCCCTTTGAAACAACATGAAGCTGCGCAGTGCACTTATACGGCCCTCTGAACCTCGCTTTCGAGCCGCTTTACAACACACACACACACACCTACGCACACAACGAATCTTTGCAAATTCTTTTCGAGCGACCTTTGCAATCCAACGGCAGAGTCAGTTCAAGCTTCCATGGCGGCAACAGCAAAGCACTTCCCAGACCTTCCAAAACCCCTTAATTAAGGAATATACCTTAAATCATATTAAGGATCCTTAATATGATTTAAGGTATATTCCTTAATTAAAGGATTTTGGAAGGTCTGGGTTCTTTTCGCTCGTTCGCATCTTTGCAGCCGCTACACCGCAAGCGACCAAAGGTGACGGATGCATGTCCTCAGGCGAAGGGTTGCCAAGGCTCAGGGTTAGGCTTTAGGGCTTTGTATTGAAGGGTTTTGTATTTAAGGTCTAGGGTTTTATATTTAGGGCTTATAGGGTTTGGGGTTTAGGGCCCAAGGGAAGGTTGCAGGCACTCTGAAGCCCAACAAGCCCCACCGCAAACCGGCAGTCCTACAATTTAGACGCCTAAAGTGGCCTGTGTATAAACGCGCAGAACCGTGCACTACCTTGTAAAAATCTACGAAATCCATAAGAACATTACACTGCCAAGGAAACCCACGAAATCCATCCCGAAATGCTGAACATCGCGACCCGAAAACTCTTGGCAAACTCTGAAAGGATTTCGTGTCAAGGCCTCCACCGCTTCTTGTTTTCACAAGGGCATATACGGTTGCTCTTAGGGGTGTCGAGATTTCATCAGGATTAGCTAGGTTTCTAAGTGAACAACAGAATTAAATTTGAGGTACGAGTAATCGTTGATTCATGGCTTTTTGTAGGGAGCCCCAAAAAGTAGGCGGCTGAACGACAAGCCGAAATGCTAGATATTCTATCCCGCTGCCTCAGGTGAACGTCCAAAACCGCTGAACCCTGAGCCCTATAAATCCTGACCTCAGAAACCTTACACCTCACAAGCGCCATGTCGACTCGAATCCATCACACCATCCCTTCCCCCGACCCAGTCCCGGTGAGGTTGGCAAGAATTCCCGGTGCCTAGGTTGTTGCAGTGAGAAACTGGGAAGGTCGACGAGACTTTGGGAGACTTCGTGTCTCTAAAGTCATTAACAACAAACCTGCTCTCCCTGCCTGATGTAGGGGCCTTGATAATAAGAACTAGAATAGGCTTCGGGAGTATGTTGCACTGTATAAAGTGGCAATACTGCTATTTATTACGATCCCTGTTTTTTTTCTCTTCTGATGTAGGAACCTGATTAAGCAACCTTGGACATTTACCAGGATTCCGTGTACTAGTTTGGGGTTATAGGCCCTGGGTTGCTCAATCAGGTTCCTGCACCGTTACAGAGATGGATTGCTTTGGTGCTTTCCCTGGGTGTCGTCCCCGTCACCACAGGTATCATTACATATGGATAAATCCTAACATAGGGGCCTTCATAATTAGAATCGGGTTTCGGGGCATATTATACTATAGTTCAAAGGGGAAAGGAGGGACCCTTAACAAGGACCCCTAGGTATACCCCATTATATATACCCGTTATATAGCCATTATATAGCCCATTATAGGGTAGGGGTCCCCATTAAGGGTCCCTCCTTTTCCCTTTGGAATAGTTCGAACAAGGAACCGGTAATTATAAATGTGTCCGCTTGTTCGCACCCATGCTCGGCTTCAGAGATTTTTTGAGACGGCGCGAAGAATGAACATGCGCAACACACACCTTGCAAAATACTTGCTGAAGAATCTAAACCCTAAACCCTAAACTCTAAACCCTAAACTCTAAACTCTAAACCCTAAACCCTTAAGCAACCCTGAACCCCAAGCTGGGCAGAATCACCTTTGCACCGAAAATGCGGAACAAGCATCCCGGAAGCCGACTGAACAAAACAGCCCTAAACACTTGCATAAAGCCTTACCGCAGCAATCCCAATAGAGCCGCAAAAGTAGCCCTAAACCCTAAACCCTGAATACCCTAAACCCCTAAACCCCTAAAACCCTAAACCCTACAACTGCATCTTCGAGGCATCTTGCAGGCCGTCGGGCATCTTCTCCGTCATGGCAAGGGAAAGCGACAAAGTCCTTCGAAGCCGATCTATAGCCCTGAGGGTCCATGTATTCATATAGCAAATACTTGGGCTCCAAAGTACTTCGGTTGATGATATAAACCCTGCAGTACCTTATGGACCCCAAGCTATGGAAATTATGGTATATTCCTTATTATGGTAATGCAGGATTTATATCATCAACCGTTGTACCTAAATAGGGAGTACACTAAGGCCAATGTTTCTACTATATGAGTACATGGACCCTTAGGGCAGCAGAGGCTTTGAGCTTACGCTTTGCAGGTGGTAGGGTTTGGGGGTCAGAGGTCTACCCATAGGCAGCGTAGTGGTTCCTTTTGGGGGTTCATATTTAGAAGACTACAAGGTAATCCTCAAAAGGAACTACCTCTGTTGATGATATAAATCCTGCATTACCTTAAGGACCCTAAACTATGGGAATTATGGTGTCTTCCTTATAATTACGGGTGATGCAGGATTTATATCATCAACCGTATATGGGGCCCATGGGTAGGGCCCAGGGCTTCGAGCCTCTACGATCCAAGGCCATACTCGAATGCAGCAGGATCTGGTCTCAGAGCTTAAGAAGCATCTGTCCCGAACTGCACTGCGGCGCCACCCGAGAAACCTGAACCTTAATATAGGGGCCTAAATAATTAGAGTCGGGGCGCCCATCATACTATATTTCTCATAAGGAACCCCCCAAAGTAGTATTGGTAATTATTTAGGCCCCTTTATACTAAACCCTCATGGAAACCCTCGATCCCAAACCCTAAACTAGCCTTGGCAAAACTACTGATAGGATTACGAGTTCAGGGCTGGAGGACTTGGAGGTTCCAGTTGCACACAACCTACCTGGACCCCAAAAGTATGTAGAATAATAGCCTTTTATAGGTTTTGGGCCCTTATTTGACCTACTTTTGGGGGTCTAGGTACGTACTTCTGTGGTAATTACATAAACCAACAGTTCAGAACATGCACAACACAACTCAAACAAACGAAAGTCGAGTTGCACGACGTCAGGGCCACTGTCTGTCGCCGCAGCCAGGCAGCGCAATGCCATGGGCCAGGCACCAGCAGCGTGACCTTGGGTTTCATGTTGGTTTTAAGGCTTTCTGGCACAGGGCTTGCTATGCTTAATTAAACCGTAAAACCTAAAAAACCCTAAACCCTTAAAACCCAAACTCTAAAAGCCCTAAACCTTTAAACCCTAAACCCTAGATGCCCTGAACCTTTAAACCCTAAACCCTTAAACCCTAAACCCTTAAACCCTAAAGGCCCTAACCCCTTAAACCCTTAACCCTAAAAGCCCTAAACCCTTAAACCCCAAATGCTTGATGTTTCAAGGGCTGTTAGCGTTGCAGGTTCCGCTGCGCCGGCGTTGGGCGGGTGGTCTCACTTCGTTGAAAGGTCGGGGCTTTGAGACCCAAAGAGTCCTAGGTACTGTTAGGGGGAATACTTCCCAAAATCACAATCGTAACTCCTAGTATAGAAACCCTACATTCTACTGTATGGGAGTTTCCGAAAATAGGGGACCCTAATATAGCACCCTCAATAATAGGACAAAGATGATTGGGGCTCTGACTATTTATAAGGACTCCGAAATAGTGTACCGCTAATTGTTGGAAACTCTCATATAGGCACTTTGGACCCTTTGGGAGATTGGGGCTCTGGGAGATTTAGGGACTCTGGAATTTCGGGTGTGGCGCCGGTAATGCAGGGGCCTTAAACAATTAGAACAGGGTTGGGGCCCCCCACTCTACTACATTCATAATAAAGATTGAGGCCCCTATATGGGAGTTTCTGAAAATAGGGGTACCTTATTTTGGGGTCCTTAGAATAGGGATCCTACTATTTAGGGTAATTACTTTATTAGGGTCCCCTGTTTTCGCAAACTCCCATTTAGGCCCCTATATTAAGGGCGGACAAAGGGCAGGAGCTCAGGGTCACGCAGCAGCTGATGACATTTGCTTCCACTGCCTCGCAGGCGCAGATTAACGGCTTAGGATGTTGTTGGGATATAAAATTCGATCGTAGAGTTTCGAATTGATTGAAGGCTCTTAGAGCAGCTTCAAACACAGGTCATAACTCAGTCCTATACTCCTATACACCCGAAAACAGCACATCGTAACCCAGAACCTTCCTTGCGAGGTCCGCGAGGAGCTCCACAGTCCCACGCCAGCGGCTTGCTTTCCTCAGGCTTATATTTTGGAAGGTGTCGTGGAGGTTTTATGTAGGCTTTCAAAACGGTTTAGGCCTTATGTATGTTTCCTAAACGGTTCAGGGTTTAGGGTGCTCTTGGATTCTCTTACGGGGAATTAAAGGGTTTCTAGAGGGCTTCCTTGAAGTCCGTGGGTGATGGGCTTTAGGGTCGGGATTGCTCAACGGGGTGCTGACGTGTAGGATTTGGTGTAACGGGTCCGTCTTGGTGAGGGTCGACTCTTAAGAAGATCTGGGACGGTAATATAGGGGCCTAAATAATTGCCTGCACTGTTTTTTTTTTTGTGTGTGTGTGTGTGTGTGTGCGGGTGTGTGTGTGTGTGTGTGTGTGTGTGTGTGTGTGTGTGTGTGTGTGTGTGTGTGTGTGTGTGTGTGTGTGTGTGTGTGTGTGTGTGTGTGTGTGTGTGTGTGTGTGTGTGTGTGTGTGTGTGTGTGTGTGTGTGTGTTTTGTGTGTGTTTTTTGAGGGGGGGTCGTTATTATACTTATAGTATAATGGGCCACGAAACCCTATTCAGAGTATTAAGGCCCCTATATTGAGGTTGTTTGGGATCAGCAGGATGCTTGAGATGAAGGATTGTTCGGCGTCGGGTGTAGGATTCACGGTTGAAGGGTTAAGGTTTTTCTGCTTGCAGGATGGGGTTTCTGAGTCCTTATGGGGTCGATATTCAGAACACGCGTCTATACATTTCCAAAGTTAGAATGGGTGATACCTCGCCCCTGTATTTGGGAACCCTCGAATGGCAAGTGCTGCTAGGCCCCAGAGCTCCAACACCCCTCAAACCTGTAACATTTTAGTTAAACGTATGTGTGTATGTATACATATATATATACACACACTTGTATATACATATTTGTGTATACACATATTTGTGTATGTATGTACATATATATATATATGTATACTTCTATATATATATATATATGTACATATTCTTAAGGTCGGCTTCTGATTTCTGGCAACAACGGCATCTGGAACCAAATCTGATTGTGCTGCCAGGCATCTCACAGGCACTCAAAGCCACGTTGAAAGTGACCTGACCGGGAGAAGTTGGAATTAGGGCATGGGGGGCAGGGTTCGGAATGCCTTTCAGATTTCAGCCTGCCAAGGGCTGGCACTCCCAGCACTGAAGCCTGAAAACCTGTGCGACTTGAACCACGATTTTTTGTCGTTGCCTTCAGAGTACGACCTGTCACGATAGTCAGAAAGCTTCAGGGCCATGGTTTCAGGTGTGTACCTGGACCCTAACAGCATGTAGAACAATGGCCCTTTATAAGTTGTAGGCCAGTATTTAACATACTTTGGGGGTTTAGGTAAGTGACATGATGCTTAACCATCTGCCTCTGGCTGGCATTCAGCAGCCGCCGTTCCAGCTGATGTTCCTAAACAAACAATCCCAACAACCTTAAACTGCAAGCCCGGCCCTCCTCAACCACAAACCCTAACCCCCGAATGGACCCAAAAACGGAGACCATCTACAACTGCTATTGTGCATGATTAAGATCAAGCGTATAGTCATCGTTTTGTACTTACTAGTGTAAGAGAGAGAAAAAGGGTCGACTAAGAGGCTCTTGGTCTTTTGCTTGACTTACTTCGGGCCTATGAGTCAACCTACCAAACCCTACAGTGTTGCAGGGTCTCACAAATGCCTCCATCCAATTCCAACTTGAGAGTACCGAAAACACATAACTTGCACCAGCAAGCCAGATCAAACCTGCAAACCCTGAACCCCCACACCCCTTAGCACAATCCCAAACCCCCCGAAACCCCCTAACCCCCCAATCCCTAAACCCAAAGCCCCAAAGCCCCTAAACCCAAAGCCCCTAAACCCGAAGCACCAAAGAACGCTACGAGTCAGACGCCTCATCGGCCCGCAGTGCAAAGCTGGAGAAGTGCTGCAAGGCGCCTCGGCCCGAACACTCTTCGGGGTCCTAGGGTTTGGGGCTTTAGGGTTCTAGGGCTATAGGGTTATAGTTATAGAGTTATAGGGTCTATAGGGTTATAGGTTTTGGATATAGAGTTATAGGGTTTAGGGTTCTATAGGGTTGAGGGGGGTTATAGTTATAGAAAGAGATAAGGTGTCTATAGGGTTAAGGGTTATAGGGTTGTAGTTATAGAGCTATAGGGTTCTATAGGGTTATAGGGTTTTAGTTGTAGAGTTATAGGGTTTAGCGGTCCATGCAGAGCTGAGCAATCTTGAAAAGTGGGGTTCCTTTACGAGATATCCCGAAAGAGAAAACTGCTGGCTACTCGTGAGGCTGCACAACCTAAACGAAAACCCCAAGCCCGAAATATGCGAAAATCAACTCAATAAACTATATAGAGTACAAAGGCCTGAATAAGGAATTCCTGGGAAATAAATTCTTCAGGCCCCGGTACCACGACTGGCTTCTGGTTCTGACGTAAGGAAGAGTTTTCAGCCGTCCGGAATCGGGCGACGGGACCCGAACTTCTGAAATCATCCTACCCGCAGAGACCCCAAGCCGCCAAAAGCCCTAACCCGAAAGCATAACCCCATAAGATCCTAAACCAAACCAAATTCGGAACAACAACCCTAAACAAAGCCCCATAGAGCTCTGCCCAACTCCAAAACCCTAAACTCCAGAACCCAAAAACCCTAAACCCTAAACTCCAAAACCCCCAGCCCTAAACTCCGAAACCCCCAACCCTAAACTCCGAAACCCTAAACCTCCGAGACCATCCAAGGAGCCCAGGGCTTGCCTCCAAAATGACGATTTCTCGCAGGCCGTCAGGACCCCATTAAGGGCGATCCTGTCCACCTCAGGGATGGACCCTTGGAGGATCGTTTACAGGGTTCTACCAGGGGCCTAGAAGGGATCGAGAGTCTCAGAGTGCGGTTTGGGGTTTAGGGTGTAGTATAGGGGCCTTAATCATTCGAATTGGGGTATATTATACTATAATCATAATAAGGAACCCCACAGTGGTTTTGGTAATTATTTAGGCCCCTATACTAGGGTTTCATGTTGGGGGTTTCAGGTCCTAAGTTGTGGGTGCGGGCGTAAAGGCTTAAAGTCTGACCCGCTGCATGCAGTCGGCGGAAACCTGCTTCCGGGGTTAGACCCAAACCTTCCAAAATCCCTTAATTAAGGAATATACCTTAAATCATATTAAGGGTCCTACTATCATTTAAGGTAAAAATTCCTTAATTAAGGGGTTTTGGAAGGTCTGGGTTAGATGCAGGGAGGCTAATTTCACTGTTGCAAGGGGGTCCCTCCGAATTCTGAAAGCCGCAATGCAGTGCACCACTCTCAAGCCCAGCAGCTAATTTTGACAACTTGGGGTTTCGTTCAATGGAGAATCGCTTTTCTGACGCGGAACTAAACAGGGACCGGCCTTTTCAGCAAGCCCGAACATGGAGAGTACAACTGTAGATCTTTCTGGCTCGGGAACTCTGCATGCAGGATTCCGGCGCAGTTCTGCCGACCACATGTTAAGATCGCTCTATAACTGCCTCACCAAGAGAAGGACCTCTTAAAGCCGAAGTGCCGCTGCAGTATGTGCTAGGGGAAGGCCATGCAGCAAATAGACTTGCTGAGTTGAAAGCTGCGGTTCAGGGTCAAAGGCCAAGGCCTATGAGCTTCGCACTGAGTGTTGGATACTTGGAGTAGCAGCATCATCCGGACAGATCCCGATCCTGGTCCCAGAAGAGTACATCAGTACCGTAAGACCGTAAGGAGTGACGAATGTAAAACAAAGACCCTGATACAGAGAACTGGCCGTGCACAAGTTCTGCAGCTTGTCCACAGGCTACCCTGCCTGGAGATGATTTCGCAGCAGCTCAGCCAATGCAGCCACTGCTGCCTCCCAGTGGCCCCTGCAGGCACAAGCTGCGATCACGGCGCCGTACGTGATGGAGTTGGGCTGCAGCCTTGCCGTGCTCTGCTCTTGACTGTAGCTCATGATTCAGTTCTGATCTCTGTGTTGGATATACGTCACACCCGACATGCTGACGTCCCTTCGTATCAATTTGGAAGCGCAAGAGGGCTTCGGCTTTAGGGTAACAGACTGGAGTAAAGGGCAAGCTTCAAGGCTAACAAGGTATTGCGATGCCCAGCAGCTCTCTTTCCTCGAGCTCCTTCAGCAAACAGAGGCTGCGCCACCAGTCCACGCCTGATTTTATCAAGCCCCCCGGGGGAAGAAGAGCAAGCTAACATCTTGTTAACATGTGACAATTATGGTTGAGAACACAAGGGGCCGGCTTTTCCCCAGAATGCAGTGAGGTTTACGGTTAAGGGCATAGGGAGGACACAGCAAGAGATGCAATCTAGTGCCGTACTCCAAAGCCCAGACACATGTTTCGCAGGCGCTGATCACTGCGCTGTAGGTCACGATGCCTCTGCTCGCCGGGTCCCGCCAGGGTTACAGCTTCGGGGCTGTGAATAGTAGTAGGTTGCGAGCCCTTGCACACACAAACGAAACCATAAACCCCAACGAGAGTCCAAGGAAAAAAGTCTGTGGAGCACGGAAATATGAAACCAGAAGAAACCCATATAGAAACGCCTAGAGAAAAATTGATCCGAGGGGCTGGGCTCAACATCTCTGACATCCACCTCCCTTAGGAGATCGAGTGCCCGTTCCCAAAGATCGCACTTTTGGCATGCCTTGCGAGAGTTCCAGTTTTGGGCTTCATCTGGGAAAAACATATTTAGGGTTTGGGGTTTTGGTTTAGGGTTTGGGGTTTGGGGGTTTAGGGTTTAGGGTAAGCATAATATTGGTGTTATTGCGGTTATTATCGATTTCGGGCTTAGTATGCTGAGGGCAGCGGCGAAGGATGTAGGGCTTAGGAATCATAGCCCTGCAGGTTCGTAGTGTTGTGAAACCTCGTCCCAGAGCTGGGCTGCTAAAGAGGAGGCCCATCTCTAGGAGGTCGAAACACCCGTCAAGCTCTATATGGCCGTTTCCGAAAAACGGGGACCCGAATGTGGCACCCTAAATGGTAGGATCCTTATTATTGATTATTATAAGGACCCCAAGATAAGGTACCCAATTTTGCAAAACTCCCATATTCAAATTCTGCCGCACCTAAACTCCAGATTCTTGTGCTCCGAACGAACAGGGCCAAGGGGCGAAGACCGCACACCGAACTTAATGCCCATCGCCGGAGGCCCTACTGTAGGGGCCTTAATAATTAGAATAGGCTTTTGATACTCTAATTCTATGAAGGAACCACCAAAATAGTGTAGGCAATTATTAAGGCCTCTATAGTAGGCATCCTTTTCTCCTTTCATTTTTGCGAGCCCTAGCGTGTGGGGACTGTGAAGGAGCCATTGCCAACCGGGCAGCACTGATCACTGCGCTGAAGGTGATCCTTGGTTGCGCAGTCCATTCGCAGAAAAGCTCTCAAACATCAGCCTTCAGAGGCGTTCTGTACCAGGTGACACACTGCAACCGAAAAAATCTCAGTTTGGTACATCCGCCCTTCGACTGTTGATTAGAGGATCTGATATACCATGCATGGTATATACTTGAAACCCTAGGCCCTAGGCTCCAATACCTCAACTTCTACACCGCAACCAGGTAACGAGGTTGCCCAAACGGCTAATGCACAAGTTAGAGTATCCTTGTTTCCATTCGGGTAAATATGGCGGACGCAAGACTGCTGCTTCGCAGCCTTACCAAACAGGGCAAAACTCACAAGCTGAGATACTGCCTATAATCAAACCCTAAACCCTAAACTAGGATACCCAGTAACCTAAGAATAAAAAGGCCTCTCTTTTTGGTATTGGGTAACTTTATAAGGAACCTAGGACTACAAAAAGGGAATAAGGGTACTACTGGGCATCCTAGTACATGGTATTCCTCCTAAACCTGCCTACGGTGCCAAGAGTCGTGTTGGGCTCGCCCAGGGAGTCTTCAAGATCTCTGAGAAGATCCACCGCATGCTGCCACTTTGAGGCCTCAAGTTTTGAGGTTCGGGTTTGGGGCTCCACAAATAGGAGTTGCTTCGACCCTAACTTGGTGATTCTATAGAGCAGGCTTCAGTAAGTCTCTATGGGGCCTGCCATAGCTACCATGTGGAAAGCCCAAACCCCCAACGATAAGCTCAAAATGCTCTAAAGCCTCAGTTTGTATGGAGCTTTTTGGTGGCAATTTTATCCTGGCTTTGTGGCAAGTAGTTTGGGCAATGGTTCGGTGTGATGTAACTTCAAAGACGAGGTTCCCCAGTAGTCCCTTAAAAACACGGGTACCTTGTTTCCTTCCCAGTTGGCTGCCATAAAGGAACCCAAGAAGAACTAGGGCAAACGGGTACTACTGGAGAAGCGAGAAAATGGCCCTTAACCCCGGACCTGACTTTAAACCTGAAAACGATGTTTCTCTCACCATGGCACCCAAACAAGCCCCAAAAACATGTAGGGTCCCTTTAAGACCCCAGAAGTGTATTGGGCTTTATAATATGAACAAGAGCCTACGAAAGAGTAAGCAATGGTGTCAGCTGCTCTACTCAGTCAAAGGACCCCGGGCTCCTAGAGCTAGTTTGACAAGCAAGGGCAAGGCTCAACGATTTGGGTTTAAAAGCTACGGATGGGGTCTGGGCTCAGGATTTAGGGCAAATTTAGGGCTTGGTGCCTCGTGTCCAGGGTTCAATTGGGTACTTGCGAGACCCGGTATGCTAACTGCTGCTGCATCCCGCCTTGCTACAATACTCTGCGTCCTATGGCTCTATGATGAGCCAGCTGGCATGGAATCGGCTTTACCTGTCGTGGGCTCTTGGATGCACTCCTGCCAAGCAGGTTTCAGCTGATCTTGTACAGCAGTACAGTCGCCGCCAGAGTGAGCATGACCCCAGGTCACAACAGATCCATCACCAAGAATGGCAGCAAAAGCGCATCGTGAGGGAACGATCTTCTGCACAGTCTTTAGCTGATCCTGCATTGAGCCGCTGTCACCACCCGCGCCAGGATTGCCCCAGGCCACGACGGATCCATCGCCAAGCAGCGCAGCGAAAGCGCCCTCAGAGGCGTGGATCTGCTGCACATTCTTCAGCTGATCTTGCACGGCACTGCTGCCAATAATGGCACCATAACCCCATGTCACCACGGATCCATCGCTGAGAATGACCGCAAAATCGTCACCACATGCATGAATCTGCTGCACATTGTTCAGCTGATCCTGCACAGCACTAGAATCGCCGCCAAATGCCGCCAGACCCCAGGTGACGACAGATCCATCGCCAAGAACGGCAGCAAAAGCCAATCGGCAGGCTACGATCCTTTGCACGTTGTTCAGCTGATCCTGCACAGAGGTGCTGTCACCACCCCTGAAAGGATCCCCCCAGGTCACGATAGACCCATCGCCAAGACTGGCAGCGAAAGCGCCCCAACTGGCTTGGATCTGCTGCACATTCTTCAGCTGATCTTGCACAGCACTGCTGTCGCCACCAAACTCAGCATCACCCCAGGTCACGACGGATCCATCGCCCAGAATGGCAGCGAAAGCACGGGAAGAGGCTCGGATCCGCAGCACATCTTTGAGCTGTTCCTGTACAGCAGAGCTGTCACCCCCAAACTCATGATCTCCCCAGGTGATAACAGATCCATCGCCAAGAATCGCAGCAAAAGCACGGTCAGAGGCTTGGATGTGCCGCACTGTTCTTAGCTGACCCTGCACTGAACTACTATCGCCACCGCAGAGACCCATACCCCACGTGACAACGGATCCGTCTCCAACAATGGCAGCAAAAGCGCCGCTGGAAGCTTGTATCTGCTGCACATTTTGCAGCTCGTCCTGCTCGGCACTGCTGTCACCGCCATAGTGCGCATGACCCCAGGTCACAACAGATCCATCGCCGAGAATGGCAGCAAACGCGTCGCCAGAAGCTGTAACTTGAACTGTGCTTATGTGCAGCGTCAGTGAGTCGCCGTTTTGCACACTGGCTTCTTTGATTTGCAGACGTCCATCCAGAACATTTCCGGATGAGTCCAGCAGCCGCCCCTTACCAACTCCGAGTGCGATTTCTGCCTGGTGTTTCAACGTGTCTACACTGTCGTTCAAGGCTGCTTGCACCACAGCCGAGCTGCCACTGAGAAGTCTAACTTCCACAGATAGCCACATTATGCCGGCACTGAGAACGCTGGTTTGAACAGTTCGGGGTTTAGGGAGCTTAGGGTTGCTTAGGGTTGAAAGATTGGGGTTTAATTCAAAGTCTGGGGGCTCAGGGTTCCGTGAGTGGGGTGCAGGGTCCAACCCCAACATAATATTAGTATAATTAGTTAATTATTAAGGCTCCTATAGTAGATTTCCCGGCTTCCGGAAAAGATCGAAGTTATTCAAGTCATAACCCCGGCAGACTCAGCAAGTCCTGCGGGAGCTGTTTGTTCATAGGGCCCTAAAAGACCAGGGTATGTTTCGAAGCTTGAAATCAGAACTGCAGCGCGCACGTCAGGGGTTTAGGATCTAGACTTTGGGGGTTTTAAGGCAGTCTAGCAGACACTGCAGAGTCCAGAGTTTAAGGTCTTGGGCTACAATTGTTGGTGCTTTCGTTGACAGCGGCCCATGCTGGTGGTGAGAATCATGCATGAAGTCGGTGATATTCACGACAAGAGAGAATGTGCTGGTGTCGTTGCTGATCGTGGTATTCTCGCTCACGACGGCATGGACTGTCTTAGCTTTCTACAAGCCTCTTGTAGCATCGGCTTGAGTAAACGCCGCAAGTTTGGCCCAACGCCCAATTCCAAATGCTCACAACGTAGCCTCACAAGTCCTCAAGCCGAAAACCTAAGATAAAGCATTAATTGAGCCGCAAAAAGCAACCTTCAAAAGGCGTTTCACAGATTCTATAACCGAGCCACCTTCTCGCATGCGCTGATGGAAGCGTTGAAGGTCACGGCTGTGGCCTGGAGATCTGTTGTGTCACATTCTGTCAGAATGCCCTAAACCCTAACCCTTGACCCCAAACCCCAGACCCCAAAACCTCTACACCCCTGCGCCCTTGGGGCTATAATTATTTACATAGGTTTGGGGTTCCAAGGGCTCGGAGGTCCAGGGCCTCACCGTTGAGCGTTGTAGGGCTTTAGGCTTGTGGAGCTTGGGGGTGAGAGGTTTAGGGTTTATAGGGCTTACGAGGTTCAGGGCTCAGGGTTTTAGGGTTTAGACTCTTGGAGTTTAGGGTTTAGTTTTTAAGGTTCACGGGCTGAGGGAATTCGTGCACTTCGAACTCAGGTTTAGGATGTAAGTAAGGCAAAAACCCAACAGGGAAACAATTACATCTGAAACACTTCCGCCCAATGCCATCATCTAACAGCCAGCCATATGGGTTGCCATATCTGATCTTGGAACCCTAAAACCCTATGCCTAGACCGTAAACCCTTGAAGCCCCACCGATAAATGCAGTAAGCCCCATACCCCCCTGCAAATCTCCGTAAACAACCGGAGAGACACGTAAATGCCCCTGAACAAGAACCTAAACACTTGAATTGCAACTCCAAGTAGCCTAAACCCTAAAGCCTTGACCCTCAAGTAAGAAAGAGACTCAACTGCTGCCTGCAGCTGCTGAAGCTTCGCCGATTGAAAGAGGGCCAAAGCTCGTTCCCAGTTTTCGGACTTCTCCTGCGGTTAAGGTTTGGGGGTTACAGTAGATGCCGAAAAGTTGGAAACCCAATAGCCTCAATCCTTAAGAGTAATGTATAGGGAATCCCGGCACTATTTGGCCTTAATACGGTTTCGTTTGCTGTAAGGTTTAGGGGTTATAGGGTTTTGGGGTTTAGGGGCTTTGGAAGGCCTTTAGGGTTTGGGGTTTGGGGGCTTTGAAATTCTGACAGGCCTTGATGCATCCTTCATGTTTGCCAGAGGTTTTCGCAGGAGGTTGTTTTGCTGTTGAATAGGCTTGGGCTTAGAATTTTGAGGCAGAGGATTACGGGACGGGGGTCTCAGATTTCAGCGATTTGGATGTAAGGTGTATAGGAATAACGGTTTGGGGTTGGCAGGTTTAGGGCTATAGCAGGCTCAGGATTTAGGCTGTTCAGTTCCTGGTTTTGGATCTCATTGCGGGTGCTGAAAAACCTTTAGGGTTAAACTCGGCTCTGACTAGTGTGCAAGATGCTCAGAGGTCTCGTTGACATGAGAAAGCCCTGCGTTCTTGGCTTCACTCCTCATTTGTTTTGAAAGTGTGCTGAAGCGTCGTTCGGTGAGCTCCCCTTCCTTGGCGCAGACCGTAAGACCTGACTCCCTAAACCCTGAACCTTAATCCATAAACGATGCACAAATTCCGAGAGCTCAAATCTATGTCTGTATATCGCAACACCACATAAAGTTTTACAACAGAAGCACTTGCAAGGTGATGTCAGATCCAGAAGGCCCCAAACCCGTAACCCTACGTCCCACAATATAGTTGCCTCCAGTGTCGTTCCTTTTGGGGTTCATAGTTAGAACCCCAAGGTAATCTCAACAAGGAACTGCTATGGGTAAGGAAGAGTTTCAGCAACTTCCCGACCCCTCCATTGCAGCCCTCCGTTTCCTGCGCGCTGATGGCCGCGTTGTAGGTGATGCTGGTCGGCTCTAGGAGAGATCTTGTCAGGGCATCCTAGGCTGTGCTAGGCCTAGGTTTCACTAGGACCCTGCGAGTCCTCAATAGAGGGTATGTGGGATACTATATAGGCTATTCTAAGGCTCGGGGTTTAGGATTCAGGGCTATTCAACAGCGCGCCTTAACAAAGGAAGCCGGAATTCTGGGTCGCACACATTAGGCTTGCACGCAAGCCTTGCAGAAGAGGCCATGGACATGCAAGATATTTTGGGCTTTACAACTCATGGCAACCAACGTAACACGTTTCTTGCTTCCGCCTTTGGGCATAGTATGGCGTCTTGAAAAAGTTGCAAGCAGTTTTGAAGTATATACTCTACACTGTAGTTTACTTCAAAACGGGCTGCCCACCCCGTGTATAAGTGGCTGCCCACCAACAAATCAGCGTGAAAAAGCGTACCAGTCAACAACCAGAGTTTCAAAAGCTGCCAGAGACTGCTGCCACTCCCCGGCATTCCTGAGAAAGGCGGGATCTGAAATGGCTTTAAACCCTAAACCTCAACTTTAGGGTTTAGGGTTTAGGGCTTTAAGCGATGTGGATGTAGTAAGTTTATGCTTTGGGGATTTCGGAGATTTTGGGGGTTTGTCCTTGGGAAGGTGCAGGGTCTGGGCCGGGGTTCACACTCGACCTCGAAATCCCTGTTTACCACAAAAAACATGCAATCTTTGATGGTAATTTTACTGTATAAACCATCAAACACGAAAGTTGCTTCGGAGTCGTGGGCGATTATCGGTTCGCAGTGTTGGTAGCGTGGTCTGGCGACTCCAGAACGGTTACTGCCAAGGTTGTAGTTTTTTTTGGGTGGGCCCTGCAGGGGTTTACATTCCCGAAACCACCGGCATAAGTGACATAATGGCCCAAATTATATGAAAAGCTATTCTTCTTCACACGTTTGTTTCGAATGCGGTCATGGCAATGCACTTCAGGGTCCTCGACAACAGTACTGCTAATGCTTCGTTTAAAGATTGTTACGCAGTGTTTGAAATTCGGGCGCCTGCATCCACAATCATACCCTAAACTTACCCTCAAATCCGTTCTCTCGTGGCTCTGAGGATGATGGATTGGATTGAAACATGAGCGTTTGTCAAACTTATTGCTTCAAAACTGGACATGGTGGATTTGGGGGTCCTCGCGATTGACAGGGATCTGGTCAACTTCTTCTTTGTGAGATGAGTAAAACTAGTAGGAGTAGTATAGCGGAAGCAGCAAGAGTTGTAATGGCAGTAGTGGTAGTCGTAGTAGGGGGTTTTTCGCATTTGGACCGTTTCGGCCTAATCCGGCAAGCCAAGGCCACCCTACTCTGAACTACAATGATCCCCCAAGCCCTGTTCTAATTATTAAAGCCCCTGTATTTATCCCTTTTGTAACATGGTCGGCAACCTGGATTTCCGCACGATATGAGCATCCATCGGAACTTCCGTGTATATTATACTATAAGTATAAGAAGGAACCCTCCCAAACCTATTCTAACTATTAATTAGGGGCCCTAGATGCTCACATAAGCATAAGCATTTTAAAGAGACATCCCTGTCTTATTGGGCTTCATTATAGGGGGGTTTATATGGGATATCCTTATCCTATTTTTTGCTTATTTGCTTTTTGGGGGCCCGAAATAAGGCCCTTACGTTAGGATTTAGGACTCGGGCTCTTCGCTCTCCTGGACGCAGAACCCGTACCGAGGCCTTCATGATTAGAGAGGCTTCCTTGAAAGGGGTCTATACGGGATCTATAGTAGGGTTCTACATTAAGGGCCTGAATAATTTGAATAGGGTTTTGGGGACCATTATCCTATAACTATAATGAGGAACCCCCCGAAAACAGTATAGGTAGGTATTAAGGCCCCTGCATAAGGGTAATACATACAGGGCAGCTCAGCTAGGCCTGGTATAATCCCGGCTTGGGCCCTTGCGTTACTTCTCTTGGTTCAAGAAATTACTTACAAACCCTATGCTTCCAGGGACCTTATAGTCAGGGCCCTAGACCCCTTAGGGACCCAATAATAAGGTCCCTGGAAGCCTCGGGACAGTTCCCTGTTCTCCAAGTCATAAACCACCCGGAAGCACCATGGCCATCCCCAAACACTGAATGCTACGCCTTTAACCCAAAGCCCTGAACCATTGACCGTACATCGTTAAGCCCTCAATCCTACCAAGAGGCCCGCAAGCGCTGAGAAGAGCATTGCAGGAGATAGTATCAGGAAGCCTTCGTCATTCGACGCAACGGCACCGCACTTGGTTTGGATGTCGTAAGTGTTTTACGGCCGGGGTTTTGGGCTCAGGGTGTGTGAGGGCTTCAGGGCTATAAGGGTTGCGGTGAGGGCTTATGTCGGAATATAAGGTCTGCGGGTTCAGGTTCTCGGCTCTATAATGGGGCTTTAAGATTTAGGTTTTCGGCGGGCTGTGTTGTACTGAACCTGTGTTTTTTCCGGGTACCGGCTACGTTGCACCATCTAAGCAGAGTTTACAGTATATTCGGGCCCTACAGCACCTGAATGAATACATGGACGAGTAGGGCCTACAGGCCAGGCCTAGAGATTTTTGGCCGGTCGACGAGCGAGGGGTATGGGGCAGGGGTTTAGGGTTTACGGTACATGCCATCCCATGGCGTCACCCCAAGCTTACACGTGCGTCACATTCGGGAGGTGCTGCTGACCACAAGAATAGAAACTGCCCTACAACTTCCTCTACTCGTCTTAGAATGAATCCACGCAAGATCCACGATCCTTCAAACAAAAGACACCAACACCCGAAGAGTTAAACATCCAGCAAAAAGCATCCTTGGAGCCTTGCGAACCGAAACTGACACCTTCAATAATAGTAATAATGGTAATAGTAGTAACCATAGTAATAACAATTTCGAGATTCACCCGGAAGTGCCGAGAAGCACTGCGGCAGCCGCCATGTCGTTGTGGAAAAGATGCCTTCGACTGAAGATGCAGGCTATTTCTGGGACCTGAACAGGCAATACAACTTAAGAAAGCAGCGTCGGACCCTAATACATTTGGGCACCGAAAAGTTGGGATTTTCATGATGGGGAACTTCCGAAAATACGGGGTACATTATTTTCGGGTCCTTATCATACTAATCCTACATTTAAGGAGACTATATTAGGGTCCCCCTATTTTCGGAAACCCCCAAACAGCTTCCGTGCAAATGGGCTCCCATCAGTGCTGCCAGCGCGCAGTGCCCAGTGCCACTGCGAGGCTTTCTCGCAAGAGCTCAGGGCCTTCGCTGCCCAACGCATGAAGCCAAGCAGGCAATACAAGATCCATCAGAACTCGACCAGGGTTTCGATAATTTTGAATATATTGCGGGGGGGGGGGGGGAGTTTTGCAGTTCTAACCGCATCAAAAAACAGATTTCAGTGCTTCGGGTCAAGAGCTTAGAAAAAAAACTAAAGTTTTCCAGTTCAAGTACGAAGCGGCTGCATTGAAAGCGACGACACTTTGTGCCTCGCGAGCCAGCAAACCTTCAGAGAGAAGCGCTAGGGCTCTCTGCCACAACCTGGCAGGCTTCTATGGTCAAAGGTCAAGTCATTACAAGCTTAGTGGTTCGGGTGTGCAAGCTTTTGGGGCTTTGGGGATTAGGACAGGGTAGCTCTCGTGATAGTACTCTCGGTTTCCGGCCCAGAAATTAAGCGCAGGGCTGATACAGGAGTACGATGTAATGTGTGCTTACATTAGAACCAGACAACTGACACAGGTCCAGCGAACCAGTAGCATGAAATAGCAGTCTTGAGCTGAGGGCACTTTGATGATGCTGCTTGATCAACCTCGAACCGGAAAACATGAACAAAAAGGTAGTGCAGGGGCCTTACCAATCGGAGACAGGTTTGGGGGGGGTATTTGTTATACTATGGCTACTGGTTTGAAAACACAAGAACCATAAAACGGTGTTGCTATGTGGGAACTTCTGAAAAGAGGGGACCCTAGTATAGTACGCTAAATACTAGAATGCTCATTCTAAGGACCCTGAAAGAAGGTACCCCCCCTAATTTTCGGAAACGCCCATGTGTCTGTTGCTCTTTATTCAGGCTTCTCTTTTCACACAGAACCCCGAAGGAGGCCTCGCAGGAACCCCAAACCCGAAGCCCTTAACCCTAAATCCCCCAAACCCTGGTAGTTGGGCTTTATCTGTAGCCCCCCTTGGAACCATCATAAAAAATACTACGGTTAATATTCTCTCGGGCTTTACATGAACCAAAATGCAAAATAATTCCTAAGGCGACTATACCTAAACCCCCCAAAGTAGGTAAAATAATGGCCCAATACCTATAAAAGGCGATTGTTCTACATACTTTGGGGGTCCAGGTAGTTATGTAGGAAAGAAACTCTGGGGCCGAAGGCCTGAAATCACAACTTCGAAGCCCTGGGTTCGTTCAGAAATCCTGAACCCTCAACCCTATCATCCCTATAAACCATGTAAAGCCTACGTGTATGAACCGAGTACCAGCACCCCCCAAGTACCCTTTCAAGGGCTCTACTATTTCTCATTAAGAGGTACTTAGAGACTACAATCAAGGGTAGTTGGGGGGTCTAGGTAGGCCCTAAATCCTAAATCCAACACCTCCGAAAATCCTCCCAAAGCCCTGAACTCATCATGCATGCCCTCGTGGGAAGAATCATTTGGAGTGTTGAGCTATGCGACACAGAGATTAACGAATCCCTTCATCAAAGCATTCAACGAGATTTGCAAAAATCTCTGGGCGCCCGACCTACCACAACTTGCGACAACTGCACTCAGCGCCGTTGCATCTAAGGCCATCCCCGCAGAACGAAGTCCAAAAAGAAGTTCTGATGCCTCGTGCTCTGAGGCTATGCTTTACTAAAAGGAAAAGGGATTAGGCGTCAAGGCCTGCAGTTTAGGGCCTCAGGTTCAGAATCTACAGCTTCGGGCCGCTAGGGTTTATTTATTTAGGGCTTCGGATGCATCTGTTTTTGGTGATTGTCCTTAACTGTTTTCCAAGCGCTTCGAGCTGAAGGGATTTTTTGTCCTAGCAGGCTTTAGGGTTGAGGGTATATAAGGTTTTTCCGAGCGTCCGCGCAGGTCTTAAACTTACCACAACGATTGAGGGTCCAAGTATTCAAGGCGGGCAAGGACTTACTGCTTCCAACCTTCAACTGTTCATTAACCTCTAGTTCCCAAAAAGGTAAGAAACGCATAAAACAACAAGCATGCAGAAGCACCACTCCCCAACAAATACACACAGTACTTTAGCTTGATGTACATTTTCAAAACCCTTACCCCCCCAAACCAAGCCCCTGACCTGCAAAAAAAAACAAGCCCTCAACACTAAAACCCAAAGCCAATAAACCCCCAAACGGCTACCCTAAACCCTATAAACCCCAAACCCCTAAACCCCTAAACCCTAAACTCCTAACCCCTAAACCCCTAAACCCCCAAACCCCTAAACCCCAAAAGCTTCGCACAAAATGCAGCTGTGGGTCGGTCGGCCACTCCCCAGTGCGACCGCAAAGGCTGAGGACCCCTTGGTAGGTCCTCGTGGGGACTAATGTAGGAACCTGATTTTGAAACCCTGGCGCTGAAGCCCAAAAATACTAGGGTTCATACAAGGAAGCCGAATAAGGCCCAAGGTTTCTTAATCAGGTTCCTACATTACCTCAGCCCCCCCAAAAAAACTTACCTTTTCAGGGTTCCTTTCTATGATTTCCTTTTGTACGTCCTTCAGAAGGTAAGATATTCAGGATTGAGATAGGGTTAGAGTTTTCAGGGGGTTAGTGGTTTGGAGGAGTCTCGCAAACTCCAACCTTAGGGGTCTGGGGGTTTCAGGGTTTAGGGCTGTAAACTCCAACCCGAAGGTTTTTGGATTTGGGTTTGGGTTGACGGGTCGTGGAGCCTTCTATGCTTCTCGGGTTCTTTGAAATGCTGGTAGTCTCGGGTGTGGCACTTGCCCGATGCGAGCAAGTACCTAATAACCGCATACGCCCAAGCATACTAACTTATATGACCACTCTGTTCTCAATCCAAACATGTGCCCAATTGCTCGGCACTCAAATCCCCCCGCGACGCCCCATACAAACCGTATAAAACTCAAACAGAGTTAAACCTAAGAAAGCCCTTCGGTCTTGGGCGTGTTGGATGCCGGAGGGCGAACTTCATGAACAGAAGCCAGCCTCCCCTTAGCCGTTTCAATAAACCCTACACCCTCCAATCCTGAATCCGAAATCCGGGTCCTGATGCTGGGTTGCAAATTCTCCGTGCGGAGCTCCTTGAGCCTCGCGCAAAGCATGTTCAGTCGCTGAGCGTTCGTCAGGTTCTTCGAATTTAGGCCTTCAGGAGTAGTGCAAATTTGGATAATATAGGGGCCTCAATAATTACCTGTATTGCTTTTGGGGTTCCTTATTCTAAGTATAGCAAAATGGACCCCCAAACCCTATTCTAATTATTGTAAGGCCCCTATATATGATTTTGGAGTCTATGGTTTTGGGAGTTGCCGTCTTACGGTCTGGGGCATCGGGCGTTGGGGTTCAGCTACGGCACTAGGATTTAAGGCTCAGGGGCTTATACGATGTGGTGCGATTCAGGGGTCCTTCAAGTGATCTATTGACAAGGCCCGAAAACCTGCAGGGATAAGTAGAAGTGGCAATGCATGCTAATGCTTGTTGGCGGCAAGATCTCAGCAAACTTGATTTCTGGTTTGGCTGTGAGAAGTCATGCTCAGCACCCCTAAACCCTAAACCCAAACCCTGAACCCTAAACCCTGAATTCTCTGGGTGAGTCTTTAGGAATGCATGTGACTCACGATCTGTCAAAACCTCACTCGACCTGTGCAAGTAAGTAGGCTCTTACGAAGACTAGCCTAGGGCCTAGGGGTTCGGAAGGGCAGGGGGAGGTTTCGCATTATGGATGTTGAAAGAGTGGTATAAAGCTCCCTCGGACGAGGATCCTCTGCAACGCCGTCCGGGCAACCTACAAGAATCGCAGCCATATCCCGGCAAGCGTGAACCCGAAAGCCCAAATCACCAAAAATCACCTCAAACCCTAAACCCCAACCCGCAATCCCTGAACTGTAAACCCTAAATCCTTACACCCGAAATCCAAAGCCCCACAAGCTCCAACGCAAAGTCCTGAAGCGAACCTGGTGAAAGGTGATCCTGCACCCCGAAACCCTAGCCCTAGAAATGCGCTTCGTGGACTTTATTTGGGATTTGCGAGCCGGGGTTTGGGTTCTAGAAGGTTTTTGGTTTTGGTGCTTGGGACACAGCACCCTGTGAAAGAAACCGCAATGTAGCCAAGTCGCAGAGCTAACGCCATCCCCAGTTGCTCTGCAAAGGCACAAGCTCCCAAAAGGGCGGTGTATGTGATCCTTAATCTCTCAGCTTGGTGTCTCATTTTACATAGCAGAGGCTTTGAGGGGCTGAGGGTCCAATACATTTGGGGTTTGCTTCTGCTGGAAGCACAGTCGGTTTAGGGTCTGGTGTGGAGATTGAATACCTCAGAAAATTTGGACGCTTTTGCCGGTTTCTGCGTGTCCAAGCTCCAGGAATGCCACATCCGATACTCCTGTAAATCCTATACCAAGCCCCAGCCCGGCTTACCCTAAACCCTAAACCCCTAAACCCTAAACCCTAAACCCTATTCCTCACATTAATTGCATGAGGGCTCTCTCTTTTTCTCTCTCTCTCTCTCTCTCTCTCTCTCTCTCTCCCTCTCTGCGGTTATAGGTTGTCTATTCGAGGACCGAGTTCAGCTCGTTTCTTGGGTGAACCTTCTTATGCCTACAAGTATCCCCTGACTTCTCGCTCAAAACCAAGTTGAAGTTCAATCGAGGCAGTGTCTGCAGATCAAGACTATTGGCATGATAGCCCTTCTAAGGCTTACAGAGCGCCATTATTTGTAGAACCCTGATCATCGAGCCCTTATAACTTTACCCTATCCTTCCAAGGACCTCATAGTTCGGGTACTAGACCCCTTAAGGACCCAATAATATAAGGTAAGTGGAGGCATTGGGTTAGTAATTAACTATTCAGGACCCGAAATTAACCCTAAACCCTAAACCCTATACCCTAAACCCTAAACCCTAAACCCCAAACCCCAAACCCTAAACCCTAAACCCTATGGCCCAGGGTCAGATTTGGCTGGAGCTCTCTTCCCCGGAGCTCCCTCAACTTCTGAAGAGCCGCCTCCCACTCCTGAGTGCTATATGGGAGTTTCCGAAAATAGGGGACCCTAATATAGTACCCTAAATAGTTACTGTAAGGACCCCAAAAGAAGGTACCCCTAATTTCCGGAAAGTCCCATATAGGGTTTGACAAGAATTTTCACAGGGTGGAATCTTAAGTGCTCTGAGAACCATAGTCACGTAATGCAACATAACAAAGTACGTTGTATTCAGCCCTTGGAGGTGTAGAGCACTTCCTAAGAACACTACTAAAGTAATGTATATAGGGTTCAGAAAGATTTTGCAGGCGCTGGAGGTGTAGGTAGCTTGATACCTTGCCAATTCAGGTGTATGGCACCACCCACCCCAGACCTTCCAAAACCCCTTAATTAAGGAATATACCTTAAACTATAGTAGGATCCTTAATATGATTAAGGTATATTCCTTAATTAAGGGGTTTTGGAAGGTCTGGGACCCTCCATCCCTAGGACTCAATCGATCTTGAGACCCTGGGTGGTTGCAGGACATCTTCGTCCTGTAAAGCTTTTTGGCCTCGGGGTCATTGTTCAACTAACATATCTTCTGAAACCATACAGAAATTGCTGCTTCAACGACTCGGGGGGTTTTGATGCGTTTCGGGCTTTTGGTTTTCGGGTTTCCAGTTTCGGGGCTTTTGGTTTTGAGGGGCCCATGCCCACCGAGACACCCCTGCTTTCTCACAGGCGCTGATGGCGGCACTGTAGGTGATGATGTTTGCCTTAAGCTTCAGGCGAGGTTCAGGTGCAGGGTTTACAGTACTTCCCCCGAAAAGGGCAGGGTTTTGGGTAAGTAATTGATAACTACTTCTACATACAGAGGGAACTCGGTAAAGTTCATAAATCCCTAAGCCCGAAACTCTGACTGACCTCCTTCCATACGGCCGCCTCGGCACAACAGTTGAAGCCTAGTGGTTTAGGGCTTAGGGTTTACATAGCCGGAAGGAAAGATCTGTCTGTATGAGCCAAGCCGTTTTTGGGCGTTTTTGCATGGACTCCGAAACGGAATTCTAAGTCAGGGATGGACTACAGCAACACAAGGGAGCCGCAAAATTCCAATGTGGGTATTATGTTTGGCCCAACTGCTCCCTGCTATATGCTTCCGTTGTTTGGCTGAGGATTGTATAGGGAGTATCGTAAACAACCCAAGGTAAAAGGTTACCTCTTCTATTCGCAGAGGACATTAATATAGGGGCCTTCATCATTAGGGTAGGGTTTGGGGGCCCATTGATAGTTCTACTAAGGAACCCCCAAAGTAGTATAGGTATCCTTATAGGAAATGAAATTATATTAAGGCCCCTATAGTAGATTCAGGAATGGCGAAGGGCTCGGAGGCGGCGTGAATGAAGCGCGTCAAGCAGTGCCAGTGCTTGCTTCCACTCACGGGCCTCCGGGCGGGGCGCACCCTACTTTAACCCTGAATAACCTGCCTGTTTAGGGTTCCTTATTATGATTTCCTTATATAAGTCCTTAAAATGGTAGGTCCTTCAGGGTTTAAGGTAAGACCTATAAGCCCATGGCTGCAGTCAGAAGCTGACCTTAGCCCTGCCACCAGAACCGAAGCTCCCAACAAGCCCTGCCCTTGACAATTCCTGAGGAATCTTCAACAGCTCTGAGCTCCAAACGGGAGTTTCCGACTTTAGAGGTACCTTCTTTTGGGGTCCTTATAATAAGGATCCTACTAATTAGGGTACTTTAGGTACTATATTAGTGTCTCCTATTTTCGGAAACTCCCAGATAAACCCAAGCCTCGTAACTTTAAACCCCGACGTTGAACTTATTCTGACGCGCCCAGCCTTCTCACATGCACTGATGGCCGCACCTGACTTTCCATGCTTCTTATGAGCTGAGGAAGCTACCTTCATCTGGTTTGCTGATGAAGCTACTGCGTGGCGGAGGTTTTCTGGTTGAGGTGTTTAATTGAATTCCTAACATATACTAATTCCAGAAGATGCTCGCTCAGGTGCTGTAGGGTCAACCAAAAGAATCTGCTGGAAACCCTCAAGTCAACCGCAACATAATAAACCCTAAACCCTAAGCTAAATAAATAGACTCTAAACTGTAATGTAATCAACCCCAAAACCCTAACAAACCCCAAACCCTAAACCTAAACCCCAAACCCCATAGTCGTCGTCCAGTGTAACCCTATACGGGCTCCTTCCCAGGGTCCTAAACCATGTGTCTTACGATGGATTTAGAGAATGCCCTACTGTAGAAGTAGAGTCTGTATAAGGTCTAGTAGACCGTCTACTCTTCAATGCCCGGCGGTAGAAGTAGAACCCCTAAGGTCTAGTAGTTAGACCGCCCACTTTTCAAAGTACTAGCTTATATTGTGCAACTGATCGTTTGATCCCTCGGACTCTTACCTAAGGTCGAAATAGCCCAAAAGCCTTAGATAGTATGGGCTTTGGACCCAAACACCTGAAAATATGAGTCCTTAGAGCCTAAGGGTTAAGGACAGCAAGACAGCTGGAGCATTGCCATCCGGACCAAGACATCACCTGGCGCTCAAAGGAACCCAACATGCAACACCCCATCGATGCTGATGCCCTGAACTGCATACCTTCAAGACTACAAGGCTCGCAACGCGGGTTTATGGTTTAGGCTTTAGAGTTTTAGGGTTTAGGGGTGAAGGGTTGTGGGTTTGGGGTTCGGGGTTTGGGGTTTAGGGGTTTAGGGGTTTAGGGTTCAGAGTATGCAGCCAAGGCGCTAAAGGCCACCACATCTGGTCGAATTCCGCATGCATCTAGATCCTCCAACAACCTCGACTTTGGTTTTGCAGGATCGTTGTGTAATTAAGTCAGGACCCTAATTCCGAAGCCCAAAAAATTCTATGCCCTAGAACTGCTGCAGCTTGAGCAGGCTAAGCACCCCCATAAAGCCCTTTCAAACTTTAAAACTTCGAACCTACAAAGGCATGTCACTGCCGTAAGCCGTAGTTGAGTTGAATGCTTTCATGATGCCCTCAGCGCTAATACTGTTACGTACTGCAAAGCAACACTCCAAGCCCACGACAATTTCTTGCCTAGGCCGAAACATCAGGTATGCGTATCATACTTTCCGAAAACAGACTGTATCATCACTCAGCTCCTGGGATTACGAAGCAATATTGCCAAGTGGCCGCAACGCGGCTTCCCACTCGCCTGCTTTTTCACAGGCACTGATGGCCGAGTTGAAGGAGATCACATCCAACTCCAGGTTCGTCCTTTACGATTTCTAGGCTTGGGGTTTAAGCACTTAGGTTTTGGGAACGACAAGGTTTCCCCAAGACTTGAAACCGCAGCTACTGATCTAGTACCCACAACATGATAACTAGGTTTCCAGTAGCGGCTTGATAATGCGAAATACGGGTACCCTTTTCACTGCTTGGTCCATATAAAGGAAACCGAAAAGGAATAGGGCAAACGGGAACAGTAGGGGAACCTAGACAATCTCCACAAAAGCTGCCGGACAGTTGCTATACTTCCTGCCGTGGAGTTCGTAGGATTAGGTAATGTTTACCATTATAACAGTGCTGGGCAGATCAAGCCAAACTCCAGTTCCAACCTAGGCTGGCGTCGATCCCTGATTTACAGCTTCAGCACTCGGGGGGCCAGATTCTTAAGCTTACGCCATGAACCCTAACACCTAGACCGGAACCCTACATATGTCATTGTATATATATATATATATATATATATATATGTATATATATATATATATATATATATATATATATATATAGATTATAGTATACTGTATTATAATATATTATATTGTACCCATGCATATATATATGTATGTGTATATACATATGTATATATATATATATATGCATAGATAGATAGGCAGGGATTTTGGTCTCGTCCCTGCCAAAGCCCTCTGCCGTGGCCTCTCGAGGCAAGCCAGAAGGCCCAGCGCCTGGAGCCACTCTCCAGCCTTCCTTTGCTATTTGGGAGTTTCCGGATATTGGGGGTACCTTATTTGGGGGTCCTAATAATAAGGATCCTACTGTTTCGGGTACTGTATTAGGGTCCCCTGTTTTCGGAAACTGCCATTTCAGGGCTTTGAGTTTAGGGTTTAGGGCTTTAGGGCTTAGGGGTTTGGGGTTTAAGGTTTTTGAGTTTAGGGTTTAGGGCTTTAGGGCTTAGGGGTTTGGGGTTTAAGGTTTTTGAGTTTAGGGTTCAGGGTTTAGGGGTTTAGGGCTTAGGGTTTTTGAGTTTAGGGTTCAGGGTTTAAGGCGTTTAGGGGTTCAAGTACATTGTAAGGTTGAGGGTTGAAACTTCCTTTGCTATTTCAGGGCTTTGAGTTTAGGGTTTAGGGTTTAGGGCGTTTAGGGGTTCAAGTACATTTCAAGGTTAAGGGTTGAGGGTGTTTTCAAGCTTTTGTGGTGTTCTTAGAACGGTTTTTTGCTTTTTTGCGTTACTTAGGTAGGATACTCGAGTCTCAAGGTTGATGTTGCATGGCAGCTTGCAAAGGTAAGAGCATGAGGGCTTCGGGCTTCAAGTCTGAGTTGACAGGCGGGGGGGGGGGGCGGTTCGTCGGATTTGAAGACTTATCAAACTCCGAGGGTCATGTAATGATAATGTAAAGGTATGACCGTCTTCCGAAAGTAAGTAAAGGTTAGGATGTTCACTAGGGGTGTTGTCCTCAATTCTCATTTGCGCCGAAGGGTAAGTTGTACTAGCTGGCTAATCCTTATAGACCCTAAACCCTAAACCCCAACCAAACCCCTATGTAAAACCCTATAAACCCTAAACCGGCGCTGCGGTTTGTTTCGTGGCCCGTCAAGAGCTTCAGGTTGCGGGCTCTGGCTTGAAGGTCCAAAGAACTATGAAGATTCGACCTGAACCCTAAGCCCTAAACCCTAAACTCGAAGTTATAGTCGCTTCGCAAAAACGGCTCCAGTGCCAGGGGGTCATGGCTGTGTATGGTCAGGTCTCTAAATGAGGGCTCCCTTCGCAGGAACCCCAAATAAGGCGGCACCCTTGTAGAAGGGATCCGAAACGGGACCCGGATTTAGAGAACTAGGACAGGAACAAGTTCTAGCTCTGGCTGTCTTGTCCTCAAACCGAGTTTCCAGAGATCCATAAGCGCAACCAGAAATCATCCAACCCCCCAGGCCCCTAAACCCAAAGACTACCATCCGAGAACATCGACTGCATACGATCTCCTCCGGACTACAAGAAGATCCCTTCAACGCCGTGCTGCAGAACCGGCTTAAGGTCGAACATACACCAACCTAAACCCCTATTGAAGCCTGAGATCTACCGACCCAAACCCTAAACCCCAAACTCCCAAACCCCAAGCCCTAAACCCTGAACCCAACCCCCCCAACTCTAAGTCTGTAGTCTTTGAGCCCTAGCAGCTCACAGCCGCTCACCGCTGCATTCACAGCCACGACCTCCGATACGGATGATTAGGGGTCAGGCCCAGACCTTCCAAAACCCCTTAATTAAGGAATATACCTTAAAGTATAGTAGGATCCCTAATATGATTTAAGGTATATTCCTTAATTAAGGGATTTTGAAGTGTCTGGGGGGTTCAAGGTTTAGGGTTCGGGGTGTAAAGCCTAAACCCTAAACCCCTAAACCCTAAACCGAGGCTTTTTAGGGTGAGGGTTTAGGGTTTAGGGTCCGGCTTTGGATAGAAGGTCAGGGTGTAGGGTTCAGGGTTCGGGGCTTCCCGGGGGTTTAGGCTTGAGGGTTTGGTGTATTGGGCTTCTGGGTTCAACGTATTAGGCTTCAGGGTTCAGGGTTCGGGGGTTTAGGCTTTAAGGTTCGGTGTTTCTGGGGTTTTGGGCTCGGGGTATTAGGCTTTACAGTTCGGGGTTTAGGCTTTAGTGTTCGGTGTTTCCAGGGGTGATAGGCTCCTCGTTCGGTGATTTGGGATTGTGAGTTCTGGGTATTAGGCTTTAGGGTTCGAGGGTTTAGACTTTAGGGTTCGGCTTCTAGGGTGTTGGGTTCGGGGCTTTAGGCTTTCGGGTTCGGGAGTCCGAGGGCTTTAGGGTTCGGGGTTTTAAGGTTTTGGGTTCGGAGTTTCAGAGCTTTAAGGGTTTTGGACAATCCCATGATTAAGGATGAAAACCCCAAGAGTCCAAAAGAACCAGTAATCAGGTACTCGGTTTCAGGAGAGCAGATATGTAGGTTAGGATTTTGGAGAGCACATGGTTATTGGCTACGTGGACCTTTGGGGGGAAAAGGCTGAAAGCTGCAGCTTGGGCACATCGGCCTCCAAGCAGCGTGACTCAATGTCCTCCTCGGCAGAAAGGCTTCTTGCGACAACCAAAGCTCAGCAATTACAGTCTCGGTAAACGGACGAGGTACTAAACCCCAAACCCCTGAACCCTAAACTAAATCCTGTAAATTTTGGGCATTTTGGGGTTTTAGGGTATACTGAGGCTGTGCGAATTCGGGAGCTGCGTCCTGCGAAAGACCAGCATTGCCTCAAGCAGCAATACAAGTAGCTAGCCGCTAGCACCTACGGCAGAAGTCAGAATCGCTTCGGATTCTCAAGCTTCTTCTGAAACGGAACTGCTAACTAACTATTGCCATTCTGCGAAAATTAGACCCTCAAGCCCTCCACTGTAAATCCTGAGTTCATGTATCATGAACCCTAAACCCGAAAATATTGAAATCCAACCAGGAAAAGCCGTCAACCTCAAACCTTACGAAATCCTGTAAGGGAAACATACAGACAAAAGCATCATTAAATTAAACCTGATAGAACAAACGCCCAATTAGAAGGCCTACAAACTACAAACCTCCCATAAGAAAGCTTAATAATTAACCTTGATAGAAGCCTCCAATGTCCCTACACCCTAAACCGGATCTAACAGATTCGAAGCCCTAGACCCTATCTAAGCCCAGCAGCCAGCAAGGCCAAGCCATGAGCCCAGAAAGCAATCCCCCCGCAGGCGGAGATCGCAGAACTCAAGGCGATTGTATCGAGCTCCACTTCCTCGAGAATATGTACGCATGCCTACATGCATGTCTATGTATATCCGTGTGTATCTATGTATTTATGCAGCTACGTATACGTATGTGACATAAAGAACCCTGACTCAATGAAGTAGAACGCTGTCAGCCTGCGGCTGGAAACCAAGGACAAAAGTCACAGATGGTGAACCACGACTCACCACTCCAAGAACGGTCGCGTGCTTAGGGGTCCAACGGACAACCATTACCGAAGTATATCATCAGAACTCGTCATTGAGAAGGCAGTCCCTTTCAATCCCTGTAAATCCTGAAGCAAACCTTCTAAGTCCCTTCAGCACCCTTCAGTTTTGGGGCGCTTTGGGTCCCAGTCAGAGCGACACTGCCCAGCAGTGTTTACCTTCACTCCAAATAACCTAGAGTGTAAAGGACGTATATAAAGAAATCAACATTAGGAGCCCTAACAAGCTAGGTTTCGCAGGGTCCAGGTAAGGCTTAGACTGTTGAGCGGGGGAAGGGGTTTAGTCCAAAAGACTTCCCCCGGCTCCTCCCAGGTGTCGAGCCAATCAAAGTAGCCAATCCCTCGAAGATTTTCTGAAGTGCAGCCGTAAACGAAGACCGGATCCTTATGAAGCTTTGGGTTATTTATTGAACTCCAGTCTGTATTAAGGGATCGCTGATTTCGGTGCCCGCACCACATCCAAAGCGAAACGAAGCCATCCTGCATGTCTGCTGTGCACAGAAGCTGCAGGGCCTGGACAAGTCAGGCGATTTATAGGGTAAAGAGCAGGGTATTAGGGCCCTAAACCCGAAACCCTAAGTGGCTTTATGGCTTGAGGTTGAGTGATGAATTCGTGGCTGTCGAGGCTTCAAAAGCTTCAGTTATGTTGGTACCAGGCTAATTTAAGGCTGCTCTTGTGTACGGGAGACCGACTAAGCTCTGATGGAGGATATGAGCACCAAGGGCCGTCATGGGGTCCAGAATAGGGTTGGGCCTGGCTCCACTCAGCGGCTTTGCCGCAAGCACCCAGAGCCGCGCTGAAGGTGATAACGTCCACCTTGGTTTGGTGGTTATTGAAGCTTGTAGGCACTTCTTGGCTGTGTGCGTGTATTTCTCTCTCTCTCTCTCTCTCTCTTTTGCGTCTGTTTGCTTGGCAGGCTTTCCCTATGTTCGTTCTCTCTTCAGCACCGCGCTTCTTCCTGCTTCTCACCCGGATTGAGACAATTGAGATCTGGTGTGTGTGTGTGTGTGTGTGGATGTAGTTTGTTTGTCCAAGATGCACCCCTTTTCGAATATGGATACGCTCAAGGTACTTTCTGAAGTTCCAACCTTTCACATTATAAAACACCGAAACTCAAGATGACGGAAAAAGGCACCCTGAGCCATTGAAGACAGTAATCACGAGCTCAGCAATGAACCGTAAAGTCCAAGCCCTGAATCCCAAAGCCTCAACTTCACCAACTTTACTAAATAGTGAACTCTTTGGAAGGCCGTAGCAGTAGATACATAAACAAACGAAAGCAACAACAAAACAAGCACACGAACAAAAACAAACAAGCAAGAACACAACAAAGCACACTAACAAAAACACAAACAAGCAAGCAAGCAAACAACACACACAAAAAAACAAGCAAACAACCAACCAACCAAACAAAGAACAATCGAACAAACGCACATAATTACGAGCCTCAAAGCAAAAGAACAGACGACCAAAACAACAGCCAACCGACACACCAAACAACCACCCAAACCAGCAGGACATCTACACACATACTTACCCGCATACATCCATACCTGCATGCACATACACAGACACATGCATGCATACATGCATACATGCATACATAAGTACCAAGGTATACACACATAAGTCACACATGCACACACATGTGTATATTATGTGTACATATACCCTGGGCTTCCAAAGACCCTAGGATCCAGGGTCTTGGGTCAAGGCCCCGGTTCACCCGTGATTAGCGTGAAAGGCCCTCCTAAGTCTATAAACCACATGAGTTCGCAATCGAAGTTCACGGCTCTTGGATCAGGCCAACTAGACAAATCGCTGATCAAGGTAGGGTGTGTTCATATCCCAACATCAACGCTAGCCTTAATCTCAACCACGAGGGCTATCGAAGCCTGTCCTGACCAAGCAAAGTGTTCTCGCCATGTTGTCTCCCGATGCGTGGAGCGGCACTGAAGCGATCGAAACGTGCGCCGGGGTTGTGCTATGAGGAAACCTTTAGTTCTTGAGTCTTAAGCCCCGATACGCGAAACTCCAGGTATCCCAGAGAAATGCCGATGCTGCGAGTCTACATCAGTCAGGGGTGGCAGGGGTCAGCAGCATCTGGTAATTGTTGCATTGGTTGCATCCGATCAAAAGCTTTAGCCTAGGTGCGTGAGAGGGTGGAGCTTTTAAGAGTGATCGGAGGTCTTTGCGTGAAGACCCTGGTTCCAGGGCCCCGGGAGGGCTAGGGTATACAAATACAACTCTACATATTCCGTTTAAAACTAATTCCTGCTATCTTCTCTAAGCTACAACTGTTATTATCGTCCTTGTTTTTACTCGTTCTTTTGTCACGAACAATAGCTAAACTGTGCAATAGCAACAATCATAACAGCAACAACAAGCACAACAAATGTTGTTGTTGTTGTTGCTGTTGGGTTTATGATTGTGACTGTGGTGGTGATGATGATGATGATGACGGTTATTGCTTCTCACTAAACCATATATATATATATATATATATATATAGACACCTGCATTCCCTATGTGCGCACTTGAAGCCAAGAAGCCCGCACTTGACCCTTCGCTGCGATGTCGAGAAGCGCCAGGGCCTCCAGCTGCCGCTCAGTATAGCGGGAGGGTGATGGCTTACAGGGTTTCGGGTTTAGGGCTATAAGGGATCAGGGTTCAGGGTTTAGGGCTTAGAGGGCTCATAGGGTTTATAGGGTTTATAGAACTTAGGGCTTATAGGGTTGCTTTTTTTCTGTTTGTACCCATAGGCTCCGTTTTTGTTCCTTATTGCCAAGCAAATCCTAGAAAGGAACTACTAAGGAGCCTACGGGCACAGGCTGTAGGGTTAAGGGTATGGTTTCGGCTTCTTTAGGTGTTAGGGTGGATTGCCTGAGGGCTTAAGAGGTTAAATTCTACTACAAGTGACCGTAATAGTGGAAGTGAAGAGTTAAGGTATTTCCAACTGTACCTGAAATGAGGGTCTCGAAGTAAGAAGTCTACCAATTCTTGAGACTCCTTGTCCTGTGTTGCTGTTTTGGCTTCTTTGAACTCATCTCCTCCGGAGGTCTCCGGCTTTGGGTTTAGCATTTGGGGTTCACCTGCTCTGTGGGATTTTTGAATTCTAGGTAGTGCTTTTGAGGCCTTTGAGAAACATTAGTAGGTAGAATCCGCTTAAGCCCAATAAGAAAAATCAAAATGTCCCAAAGCCCTACCTAGAATTGATGTAGGTGGACGTATACGTAGTTTATTTCTGCAAGCGTGGGTTTAAGTTTGAGGGTTCGGAGCTTTCGGCCAATTTGAGCAGATGCAAGTTTGGAGACATGGTCGAACAGTTGATTTTTCGCATTCCTGCCCGGAAACGAGAGAGTGTAAACATCTAACAAATTTATCTAACCCAAAGCACAGAAGCTGCCTGCTGCCACGCGCTGGCACGGTCGCAGGCGCCGAGGGCAGTGTTGTAGGTGATAACCTGGCTGCGGGATTCTTGGGTTCGGGTTGCCTCGCGAACCTCAACGTCCTAGCTCGAGGAGTATGGGCCCCTATGGGCTGGTGAGTAGGTTATTTTTTGCTGTGGAGGTTATTTAGTGGAGATCCTACGATTTGGAGTCGTGTTTTCCGGTCCCGTATGTAGTAAATATCGTCAGCACGGTTTGGGGTTGAAGGCTTGAGAGTATGGTTCCAGCTTCACGAACGGCTTTCCAAACTGCCTGGGTACATTCAAGGCTAAGGGTCACACTGGGTCACTGTTGGAACCCTTGAGCAACTGGCGCCATTGACGTTGACTGAGAGAAACTTCTGTAAGTGATCTTTGGTTTGCTCTCGCTCTCACACCCTCCCTCTGACCTTCCTTCTCTCTCCCCTCTCTGGATCTCTGACTCTCTCCCTCTCCCTCTCCCACCAAAGCTTACATAGCTACATACTGTGATGTATGATCCAATCCTTGACTCATTGACTCAGGATTTTGGTGTGTCTGGGCGCTGTTCGACCAAATCAACCTGACGGGCACGTGAAACTACACTCTGCGCCGATTAGTAAGGTTTCGAGTTTAGGGTTAACGGTTCAGCACCAACGTGGACATATCAAGACATGACTGTAGATTGCTGCCTAGCATGTAACCCGACAGCGTGACCAAACCAGATTCAGCTGAGTGTATGACATACTGACATACCATGTTCCCAGGCAGCTCACACGTACCCAACCCAGCCTTCCCTGTATCATATCAAAAGCGATCTCTGCAAAGTCAAACATGTGAGACCGGTCCGGGCCGCGAACTGATACTGCTAGAGACACATGCTTGATCTCCAACAAGGTTATGAATGCTGTTCGGAATCTGGGTTACCAGCAATTACTCCTTTGCAACCATTGCAAAGCCTAGCTTTCAAAAGAGAACCTTGCAAGGCACATCTCTTAGTGCATCCGAATCATAGCCTAAACCAAAAAAATCATCCTGATGAACGAAGGCCTGGCACCTAATATGGGAGTTTCCGAGAATAGGGGGTACCTTGATTTTGGGGTCCTTATAGTAAGGATCCTACTATTTAGGGTACTATATTGGGGTCCCCTATTTTCGGAAACCCCCCATATCAAAGCATCCTTTTGAGCTTGGCTGCATCGGGCTGCAGCTGCGCTCGCCCCAGGTCTCCAACCTCCACTCTGCTCGCTTTCCGGTCCCGTTTGTGCGATGATGACACAAGATCGCTCCTAAGAGGGCTCTATAAGGGTTTAGGATTTGGGAGGGTTAGGGCTAGGGCCTAGGGTCTACTACGGATCCCAAAAGGCATCTCCTTGGGAGGGAGAGTCTCGCATCACATCTTCTACGGAGAGGCCTTGGGTCTGTTGGTCTCAGAAGCCATGCTTGACAGGATATCAGCGACCTAAACTACCTGTAGGCTCCATTGTAGTTTTTTTGTGGTTCATATTTAGGATCCTATAAGGTCTATGGAGCCTATGGGTAAGGTAAACTAGGGCCGCTGTCAGGTTCAAGGGTAGCCACGAGTCTTAGGGGTTTGGGGACTAGGGTTTAAAGTTGGCAAAGCGAAGCTGTTGATCTGCTGAAAATGTGGTTTTGTTGAGAAAAACCAATGAAACTGCGAGCATGCGATTCGTGGGCCCCTGCTTCGATTGCTTCGAAGGCCCTGCACTGACTGCTTGGTGAACTCCAGTGGGTAGAACTCAGGTGCAGTCATGGCTCCGGTAAACATTCAGCCTGGTATCAGCCCCTGCAAGGCTTCAGGCTTCAGGGTGTCAGGGCTCAGTTAAGGGTTTCTAGCTTCTAAGAGGGATTTCAGGAATCTCTATCTAAAGCACCTTTCGCAACAACCTTCAAAAATCTTATAAAGTGATCTGAAGACCCGGTAGAGACTTATCAAAACCCTGACCACTAATTTCACCTCTGGTAAACCCCTTTACAGCGATCTCGAGGAAAGCACTTCAATGCCCACAAAAAAAATACAAGCCCGGATAAACCGTAGGCTCTATGTAACAGTTAAAC